AATATACAAAGCTGCTGCTTCTTGAAATAGTTATTCGAATCTGTACTAACGATTTTATGCGAAGTGAAAGATATCTTTATCTCCATAATAAGAATTTTATACTCTTATTTTGATTTACCGAATTCCTCTTTATCTGAATTGTAAAACATTGAATTTCAGAAAAGAAATACATTGCACAGCTATCATTTACATATCGTGAACTGGATAAAAACTAGCAAAGCTAAGCCCGATCTCAATAACGGTAATTTTCATTACCGCATTTCTAAACATTCATTCATTGCAATTGACACTATTGATGGAATATCGTTGATTAGATCATTCACAGCGTGTTGCAAGGCTATAATGTCTGCATCAGATAGAAACTGTCTGCATCAGATTATCCAAAGTCTTTTAATGTTAATAGACTGTATTGTATTATCAGCTGTCACGCAAGAATCTAATAAACAGTTATTATTAACAATTTTTATAATAGTAATTACTAAAAACTGCATATATTGAATACAATTGTCATATTCCTAAATAAAAAATTATGAAATAGTAAGAAAATAATAAGAATTCATTAAAAATTTATAAATTCTGCAATAATCTTAGCATTAGATAAAATATTTGCGAAGTTAATTTATCTGTTTCAATATATTATTGTTTGTACGCAAAATTTATTTGTTTGCAAAATTTTCAACGTTGAACATATTTGTAATTAGATTCATATGTTTAATTGTCAAAAGAAGAATAATTCCGTATAAAAATAAATACAGCAAAAATAAATGCAGCAAAATATTATTTGCATTTAGTTTTTAACTTACTTTATTACTAGAAAATTGCGCTAATTTATTCCAGAAGATTTTTAATAATTGCAGTGATTTCAAGATTAAACGCTTAGTGTGTGCCACATCATCAAACGAAAATGTTAACGCGGGCTCGAGAATGTTTTGAAATTTTTGGACACGAGAATTCATGTAAGATAATATTCCGGTTGTGATGCAGGGATCTGCATCGAGTCGAAAGCGTGCTGGCGGTGCATTGTATTACCGGCTTCTATGCTCCGAAGCCAGGGGAGTTGCTCAGGTAAGTAAGTACCGTTCGACGGGCTGCGTCTGACGCCAGTCACGCCACAACTTTCGTCGTGTCAAGTGCATGGGTTCCTGAAGAACCGTACACGCGCATAGTTCGTTCGCAGTTGAACATAGATAGTCCGCAGATTTTCCATTGGCTTTAAAGGTACGTGGAAGGAAATAAATTGCTAAAACAGATAAGATTTTCGTTATTGTGATCGGTGGTATTATTATCCCAGTTAAAAACGACCTTTCAACCGGAATCTCCAAGAACGCTTGAATCCTTAACATGAACGTTTACGTGTCTTTACGAGTTCATGAAATTAACGTGAAAGTAGATCATCCGAATGTGAGAACGTAAAATAAAGTGTTTAATTAAAATTTCGTGTTTTAGGAAAGCTTGTTAGTAATAAAAATGTGACAGTGGAATTAAAATTATTTTGTTTGTCTTAATATATCCCGTATTGTATACTTCTCATAATTATATCTTATACAGTTATATCTTACTTCACACACATTTTTAGTCAAGTTAATGTGTTCTTGTAACTCATATTGCATGCAATTAACATATGCTACTTCAACATGTGGCATTAAAAAAAATATTTTTTATTATTCTATATTGACAAAAATATCTTTGAATTTACAGCTATATTTTCATTACATTTGACACATTAGTTTGAAAATGGCAATGTTCTTAGCAGTACAAGAAACAGTTGCGTATTATTGACAGATGACAGAAATTAATTTTGTGCATTCCGCAAATCAATTCTCCGTAGATGCAACTTTTCGCGAGTTGCATGTAAAATTTTCCCGTCATAAATAACGGCAATTCGAGCTTCAATGATCGTATCGCCTTTCCACATTGAAAACACCATCGAACACGCTCTACTTGACTACGATTACCGTTGCTGCTGGCGCGGCCACGCGAATTTTTCAACCGGCAATTCCGCCACACGCGCGCGCGCCACGCGTGTAATTGCAATCTATGAGGGATTCGTTTGTCTTACTGATTACGTTGAAAGAGTTTACGAACTGACTAATTATATCCGCGAGATGTTAAGTAACTGTTCCGCTGCCTCGATAACTATAAGAGAAAGGACATCTCACGTGCTTGAATTTAAGCTGACACATGATAAAATAGTAGTCTGAAATACTGCAACGTAAATGCCTTTATATATCTTTATATACTTTATATATATTATTTTCTTTGTACATTTACATTCTAGATATATACATTCTAGATACATTTTATTATTTATATATTTATTTATAAATTTAATTGCATAATAAATGAGATTCTTCCCAGACAGAGAAGAGTTATAATAAAGTATCATATCATAATGATATTATGGGACATTACTATGATGTCATTTGATACTTAAAAATAAATTTTAAGTGACTAATAGAATCATGATGATGTCGATATTATATTATTATGATTTATGTGTTTTTACTTGGGCTTCGAAAATCTGAAAAAAAATCATAAAATTAAGAATATGTAATTTAAAATGCATTCCCAATAAATGAGAATGATGGTTTGAAATAGATTCAGAATTTTAAAAGTATGTTAAAAAGTATTCGCGAACATTGAAATGAATTCTTTTCGAACTTAATGTATTTTTGTTCATTTATAGGAATTGCAGGGAACACACCTCGACGCTTTTTAATCTAAAAAAAATTCAGTTTTTAAGAGTATTGTGAATACTATTTAATTCAAAATTTTGAATAGGAAATTTCAATTTAATTAAATCTAAAAAAAGTTTTCCCAATTAAATTTTTTAATGGACCATGAATGGTATTAAAATACACATTCGGATGATTCAAATGAAGATTAAAATTTTAATCCATTTTAATCTATTCCCGTTTATTAGGTTTAAAAAATAGTTTCCATCATTAATGTCAGTCAAAATAAAAAGGATTTTTATAGTTATATAAAATTATCACAAAGAATAATCAAGAATAACGTAATTCTATATTAAAGTTTTAAAATTCAGTTAAATAATCGATAAGGTGCCAATACAAAAAGAACGTATTTAAGAGAACACATTTGAAACTAAAATTTTTAGTTACTTATATCGCTGTCATTTACGATAATGCAACTAAGTTTCAGTGATGCCTTCGGTCTTAGTCATTCAAGGTCTTCCTTTATCGGTACAACGATAAGCAAAATACTAAGTTATGTACTTCAGAAATAATTATATAATTTTATCGCTTATTGAAAAGTTTAACCCAATTATATATATTGATACACATAAATACAATAAACTATACATATAAATACAATAAACTAGATTCGTCTACGTATTCGTCTAGTGACAAATATGGATTAAAATGTAGTTTAGTGACATTTTTTAGGGGAAATAGAACTTTTTTTTAGTTTTTTTCAAAGAAGATTTTTTCAAAATCTTTATTTTTATTTAAATTTTTTATTGGACCAGTATGATAGTTGCATAAATATTTACGTTAATATCTATGTTACTAATTTCATTTATCCATATTTGTAATATACATAATTATAAATAGGTACTATTAATTTTACAAAAAATAAAATTATTAATATCTGTTTATAATTATGCACATTCAAAATGTGGATGCAAAAAAATGTAACGAACCAATAATATTCATTATGTAAAAAGATTAGTTTTTTCAAATGACAAATAGTAAAATATTTACAATTTATATTATGACCAACAGGCTAGAGTATAGAATACCAATAGCTTCCTGCTATCTAATTATTCTACTTTTTAATGTCACATTAATTAAAAAATTACTAACATCTTATTAATGACAAAATTGTCTATTGCATATGTCAAATTATTCATTATAAAAAATTAAATCATTATATGAAGGTCATCATTATTGCAATAATTTTTACAGAACATCTTTTGATGAAGTGCTTCATAAATATGCCGCTGCAATTTTGAAAGCAGGTTGCTTCAGAAGCAACAATGTTAGCCCGTTAAATCGCTGACATCCTCTTATTGATAGTCCATTTATTATACGATAAAAAAATATGCAACTGTGGGTACAGTCAAAATGATGCTTTGATTGCATTCTTTGATTGGTCAATCAAATATTTCAAAACATTTGTAGTGAGAGTTTGACCGCACTGATTTTAATTTTATTAATAAGACTATTGTTTCTTTTTTTTCTTGATCCTGTGCTTTCGCGCGCAACGATATTGCAAAAATCTCACACACGCTTTCCCTCTCGACATTCTGAGAACGAGGTGCTTTCGCGTTTCTTACTTTTATACTCGGCTTTCAAATATTACAAAATATGAAAAACAATTTATTGTTAAATAAAAGTGAAAGTTTATTCTTGATTAAATAAAAGTGATACAAGTTCTACGTTCACCTGTTTTACTTCTTCTCACGAAGGAATATATTATATTTTTTAAATATAAATTTCTATTATATTCATTGATAATATCAGATTACATATTCTACTTTCTTATATAATTCGTAAAACAACCAAATTAAATAGTAACTAATGCTATTCTTTGACGCGACTTAATTATAAATATTGAAAATTACTTATAAAAATTACTTATAAAATCTAAATTATAAAAAAGGTTAAAATAATACACTATGTATAGAAAATTAGAAAATTCTATATTTTAGAGATTATTTTCATTCAATTTGAAAAAGTATTAATGTTTAATGATAGTCTAACAGAAGTAGGCAATTCAGATAAATTTGTAATAAATTTTTTCTTGCTTCTACTTTTGAGGCCATTTAATATTTATCAATGTTTACGTTACACTATAATATTGAAATGTATTTATCAGGAAATATGACAATCGAATCGGATTCTTATTCTTTCGACCTGCCATTCACGACTTCGACGCGTTGGGGTAACGATGACTAACAGTTTGTACCGTTAGGCCGAATCGTTATTCCAGCTGGAGAATGTCAATTTCATGCGGTTTACGGTACTCAAATTGCGCGTTAGTATACACTAACGTTGCGTCAATCATTTATCGTCATTGTCTTCGTTCGTGACAGTTGCTACAATTCTGATCATCGAGGATATTCGATAATGATAAGCGACTAGAAACGAATTAGAATTATGTTAATATAAATTAAACAAAAGCTTAAACTTTTCTGCCTGTTTACTTAATCTAATTAATCTATTTTCTTCCATATTCATATTCTTTGATTTTTCGCTCCCTTATTTTAAAAGTGACGCAATTAAAAAAATTAATTTTCCAGAAAAAGAAGAAAACTATTTTTTGACTTGACAGAAATTATTGACAAATTAAGTATTGGCAAAAAATATAATCTTAACATTAATTAATTTTTATTAATTAGATTAAATATCAATTTTGTCATTTTTATTTCACAACTTAAAAAACCATTTTTTTAACAATAATAATTTTTAAACTTTTTTGAATTGTATCGTTTTGGCGATTTTTTATCAAGTTAAATTAGTTCATCTTTGATGATAGGATAGTATTTATTTAAGTCATTTATAATAATAATTTGAAAATTACGTTTTTTTTTTAATTGTGTCACTTTGAAAGTAACGGGGCAAAATAAATTTTTATAAATTATGGAAGAAAAAATGCACAAGAAATTATATCAAACTCCGCAAAATTATATTTGTATATCAAATGAACATTTAAAAATACAAATTAACTCTGATTAATAATTTTTCTTATTATACAGAACATAACACAAATATGTAATTGCTTTGTATATATGTATACTTAATATACATTTTGAAGGTAAAGACATAATTGCCTGTTTTAATATCTTATTCGCGTTTCTTTTTTTTTGCATGCTGACTCAACATGTTCGTCATCAGCACTTTTGTATGTCTTGCGAAAAAAAAATGTGCTTAAATATAATATACTAACACTGGTAAGGCAACTAAAGAAACAACGGTATCCAAGTAGCTACGACCCGAAACATTTCCGGTATGACGCCCGCGTAAAATATCTTTGCGACAACGACCTCGCGAAAGGTTTCTCCTCCTAAAAATAACATAACCGGAATCAGGATCCGCCATTAAGGTCAACGACCATCTCAAGGATTTCTGTTTTTGATCAAGAAGCAAATGAGGTTTCGTTGTAATTGCGTGTCATTAAATCGCAGAGAAATCCAATTGCAACGTCGAATCCCCGATGATTACTCAGCAGGAATATCATCGAATAGTCGCGCTAACCAAATGTTGTGTTACAGAAACGGGAGGATGTGGTTGTCGAGGACATCGCTCTTATTAGTATTAATCGGGCTGACGAGCTCTGAAAAAAATAATGAGGACGATGCATCTAACATTTTCATCGAGGAAGCTAAAAACCTCTTTTCCCAGCAGTCGCTTGAGGACATGGCCCAAAAGTTTGCGCATTCAGATGCCGGCAAGCAAGTAAGATGAAAATTCATATATTCTTTAAAAAAATATACTAAGAAAAAGATATTTAAAAATTTATTTATGAAAAATATATTTATTTTACTGAAATAAATCTTTATTTAAATATGACAAAATAAAATTTTATTTCATCTAGTAAATAAGCCATTTATTTTATACTTTTGCAATTAATGAGATATATTTCACAGATATATATGTTTTGTCATTACAATCCAATTTTTTCGTAATTGTAAATATCGTATAAAAATCGAAAAAAACATTTTTTTCAGTAATACTTTGACATTTTTTTTCTCTCAATATATCTAATATTAATCAATTTCAATTTTTTTAATTTTTTTAACATTCATCATTTCTTCTTGATATCTTCTTTATTACATCTTAATATAAAAATTTGTTATAAATATTCAAAAGAATAAGAAGAACACTAATTGTGCTTAAAATTTTAATTTGTTTTAATGTCTATGAAATGATTGTTTAAAAATTTAAATATAAAGTATGAGAAATTAACAGGTCCGCGACATGATGTTCGAAAAAAGATCCGACACTACGGACGGAATCAGCCAGATCATTTCCGGGCTCAGTAGTTTGATGTCAGGTGGAGAAAATAATCACTTATCAATGATGGGTTCATTTCTGGACCTTTTGACTGCTGGTTCGAAGAGATCGGCAAGAGATATGGAACATAAAGAGGAATCCGGCATAGACTGGGGCAACATAATCAGCATGGGCAGCATGTTCTTGCAACAAAATGCGAACAACGACGTAACATTGGGTCTCTTACCAATGCTTTTAGATTCCTTGGGTCATGGAATGAAAGACAACGATGCCGGGAATAAAGATCACTCGGGACATTCCTGGTTCTTACCGCCGATATTGGAGAACATTCACATCATGTGGGAGCACTTTAGGTAGAAATCTAATTCCATAAAATTCCATAAAAACTATTCCATAAAAACGCAATGAATATTCTATGTTAATTCTGTTGAAATAAATTAAAGCAACTAAAATTAAATATATTTCACTTAAAAATATACTTTAAAATACTTTACGAGAAGTCCTTGTTTTAATTAAAAATTTTATATTATACGAGAATGCTCAAAATTGGAAAAGTTACTTTATAAATAAATTAGTTTATTGTTACAAACTAGTTTATTGTTACAAATTTCTGATTCTAAAAAGTAACATGTTACAGCTACAATTAGTATTAATACGAGTCATTATTTTTCAGTTCTACTTCTTCAATAATTTCTTGGATTGCTATTTTAAATATAAGAAACTTATACATATTTTTAGCATTAAACTAAATTATTTTATATATTATACTAAATCTTTTATTATACATTATATATTATTTA